AAGAGCGTGGCGCAGGCTAAGCCTCCCGCGTGGACGTGCATGCAGTTCCCAGCTCTCTGAGACAGCTCTGGGTCAGGTGAGAGTGTCCTCCCAGAGAGGGCCTTTCAGGGCTCACAGCGCACATGCTGTTGAATGACAGGGACCCTAGCGTGTGATGCTCGGTTCCTAACGCCTGCTAGGATTCCTAGCGACTTGTGAATCCTTCTCTGCCTTCGGAATAGAAGAAATAAGCATGACCCCCTTCTCTCCTCTGGAATCACGCCACCTCTTTACACTCGCACCCCTCCCTTATCTGGAAGAGGGCATCTACCGAACCCACAGAGTACGTGGCAGACACCACCCAGCAAGGTTTGGCTCCACGGGGGGCTCCCCCGACCCCCTCCTCCTGGAGGCTCTGCCCACTGCAGCTTCGGGTCAGGGCTGCTATTGACGAAGCCCCCGTCCTGTTCCCCACCCCGGGAGGAGTTGGCCAGCAGCCTGTAGCCCCCCAGCCGGGTCACAGAAGACTGGGTCTCATGCTTCTCCTCAGGGTGCTACTGAGGCAAGACAGGGTTCCAGGTCAGATGCGGAAAATAGGACAATCTTGGCTTCTCTAGTCTGGCATTTCCTGTTGCTAAAGTCAACTATAGGTTTTCTTGATCAGTTGACTCTCCCAAGACTCAGAGTGGAGGTGAGGGGAACCACCAAACCCAGCTTTTCTTGGCTTAGTCCAACCCCTCCTTGCTCTTCTGAGCCTGGCTCTCTCTGTCACAGGCTCCTTCCTTTAGAGCCACATCTTTCTCTCAAGCAGCAGTCGTGTTGGTTTTCCATTTCACCTGGTGAAGGTACATCTTGCCCCAGATCTGGGACGACCGAGCGAACGGGGCCCTGAGCTCACCTGCATGCCGATGACCGCGTAGATGAAGAACAGCATGGCTATGAGGAGGGCGACATACGGGAGTGCCTGGAAGAGAGGAAGCACCCGACTCAGCGCTGGCCTCTAGTCCCCGTGCTGCTTGGTACAGACTGAAGACCCACATGGGCCCACATGCTTTTCTCTTCCATGTTATATGGAAAGAGCATCATAGAGAGAATGGACTTTTAAACCCCAGCCCAGCACCATGACTTCAGTCCTGAAGATGCCAGCCATGTGCACACCTAGCGTCACAGAGCTGCAGGCAGGACAGCTTCCCATGGTCGTGAACAGTGGATCCTAACCCTAGGCAGTGTCACCACTGACACTCCACTCTCATAATAATGCTTACATTCATCACTGATTCCTTTGTGAAAACTCTACAATTGATCAAACCATTCCAGCTCAGAAATTCAGATGGCTCCCGCTTGCTTGTGTGGGCCTGTGAGCATGGGAGCGAGGGGCTCCTGTAGTTCACCTTGCCAAGCACTAGCACTTTGCAACATCACCTGGCCATCTGCTGAAGTGCTCCCTTAAGGAGAACACTTAGGAGTGGAATTACTGGGCCAGAGGGAAAGAACCACTTTCTGGCCGTCAATCTAGAAAACAAGACACTTTTCTTAAAATGCACACTTTCCGAAAGAACCAGTGAGTTGGGGGTTGGGCCAGGGGAGAAAGGAGCTACCTGGGTGGTCGTCAAGCCTGGGTTCTCCTTAGGAACATCAGATATGAGCCTGTGCGTCAGGTCAGAACCCTGGCCCTCTGACCCAGTGTTCTTCAACTGCTGTTTTATCTCATCCCACGTGACAGAAGATGTCCATGTGCCCAGCACACCTTCAGGGAATGCCCAGATTGTTGGCCCTAATGCCAGGCACACATGTTTAAATCATCGACTTCCTCTCCTGCCCGCTAAAGGCCAGTGGCTGTGACACTTCCCAACATGTGCCATCTCCGCACCTGTGACCACCAGCCTGGCTAGGGTAGTAACACCATCCTGACGGCTGGACTGGTTCACTGAGTCCACAGGGTGAGGGCCAGGCTTTCCTATACCTACATGCATTTTCTTCCTAGTTTATGGAATATTTAAGAATTCTGTTGGCACCGTTTCTCGGGTTTTATGAACTACTACTCCATGACATGGATTTATCTGTAAAAAAGTTTAGCAATTTCTTTAAAAGTAAGAATGACATTATTACATGAATTCACTGTGTTTTTATAGCAGTTCATTCACAAACGGGTGCTTTCTCCACTCCATATTAATAACAACTGTCTAGGGTTTCATCCCTTACCGAGATCCAGGCTCACCCGCCTCAGGCCCCGCTCCGCCTTCCTGTCTCAGAGCTGCATTCTGGCTCCTCCTGCATTGCCCCCCCGGGACTTGTGATTTTCCTTCTTTGGGGTCCTGGATCTACTCCCTTCTCCTCTTTACATGTTCACATCCTACCCGCTGTGGGAAAACGCTTCCTGGGATGTCAATGCTGGTCACCTTAGAGATGGTGGGGGGTCAGTGTGAACTTTTTCTTTATATATCTTTGGATCGCTTCCCTTGTTAATGTGCGCATTTATTACCTTTGAATTAAAATAGTCAAATAATAATAATAAAACAAGATATAAGATTCATTCTCTAGTGCTTGTGCCTATCTACAAATTCCCTACATGGGTGTACCTTTCTAATAAGAATCTATACCGCTCTCAGTCCAGAGGACTCGAGTACCGGGTGGGGTGCTGGAAGGCACGGGAGAAGCCAGGTTCTGTCCAGGAATAGACTAGAACTGGGCTGACCAGCCTGAAGAATCACAAATGACGATGAGACCTGGCTTATGCCTAAGTGTCCTCAACTCCGTTACCCTCCCAGGCACTGGCTAAGACACTGGTGAGATGCGCTGGCCCCGGCGAAGTGGTCCCTGATTCGTATCTAGACCAGCTGACAGGACCATTGCAGCCGTATGAGGAAAAGCCACCCTAGCAAGAGGGTGTGAGGCTTCTGGGGTCTTCTGGGACCCAGCATGCTCTCTGACATCACCATTTACCATTGGGCTTCCGAGGAGGACCAGACTGAGTACTCAGAGGCTCCACATCTCCCAGAGTTGGAAATGGTGCAGAGCTCTCAGGCGCAGGTCCTTACTGCTTTCTTTCCTGCTTCCTTTAAGGAGGTAATCCTATTTCATTTACCCAAGTAACAAAGGGTCGGGTCTCTCCAGCATTCCATATTCTCTATTGACCTAGGTGGTCATGTGGCCCGGGCAGTCACGTGACCTAGGTGGGCAGTGGTCATACAGAAGAGAGTCTGGATCTGCCACGATGGGGGACAATCACTGACTTGCAAAGGCTCTTCAAAGACAAAGAGAAGCCCGTGGCCCGGCCCTTACCTGAAAGGACTTAATGAAGGTCCACAGCAGTGTCCGGATGCCTTCCCCCCTGCTGAGAAGCTTCACCAATCGCATCACTCGGAAAAGACGGAAAAAGGTGATGGAGATTCTATTGCTCTCTTCAGAGTTCTGAAGGGTTATCATGGAGAGGTCAAACCCAATGGAAAGTAGAACATGCAACACTTTTCAGAAAAACAGCAACAGATGCAAACACAGGTGACAGAAGTAAGAATTGAAGATGTGTTTCTAGGGCCTTTTCACCTTGAAAGGCATGATATGAAAGGAGAAGTTACATGCTAACAACACAGGGCGTGGAAAACTGCGTCCACACAGCACATGCATGTCCACGTGGTCTAGTGTGTTAAGAGGTGAATGCTGGGCTGGTCAAGAGTACTGGACACTGATGATGAATGCAAACCACTGCAGACACTGTTCTGGAAGAACAATCATGGAGAATACAGAAACACTGGGGAAACTCGACATGGCCAAATAAACTCGAGGAAAAGGCCCAGCCCCTGGGCACTAGTCGCTGGTCTTACCCCGGGTGGAGCAGTTGGGACAGGGATATTTTCACTTTCAGTTGGCTTTAAGAAATCAAAGATTGAACAGGAATTAATGAACTGGGAAGGAAGCAGTGGTCCGGGAGGACATCCCCTCCCCCCTTTAAAAAATGTGTGGCTAATGTCTTCGGACGACACACCTTCTCCCTCCCTGAGAAAATGCCAGGGACTCCGCTTGGAACTGGACTTGAGGGCGGGCAGCCATGGACCCAGGCTCACACTCCTTTCTGAGTCACCTCCAGGATGTGAGGTTCCAGGGCAGACAGGCACCCAGGAACGATAATGCTGCAAGACCTCAGCTGTCCCTCTGTCAGAATGCAGAGTGGGGCTCTCTGTGTGTCTTCTGGGGAGCCTGGCTCTCTTCGCTGCCTCTGAGCTGTGGGTCTCAAAACTGACTGCTTTGCAGGGCCAACCAAACTCTGGGGAGCAGAATGACTACCAAATGGGGCGAATGGAGTGGCAGCTGCCTGTGGCCCACAGGCGCCCTGGACCACACTCTGATCCTGGGGCCACACGCCTGGGCAGTGTGGGTCCCATGATGCCATCTCTGGCAAGGCTGCTGGGGAGCTGGACAGACTGAGCCAGTGGGGGCAGGAGATCTATTTTCCCTTCACTTCCCACTGGCAGCTCAGACTACTGACAAGGGAGACCAAGCTCAGCTCTGTGTGACTACTGGGGAGCAACAGCTCAGGACCAGCCTGCCCTGAGAGCTCTACCCCAGCAGAGGTCTGGCGGCGCCCCGGGGTGCAGAATCACAGCACTCACCGCCCTGTATCACTGCCTCCCCCTCAGGCTGGGAGCCCCCAGAGGGCAAGGACCTTGCCTCACTCCACTCAGTGCCCAGCATGGGATCTGGCACTTATTCGGTGCTTGATAAGTGCTTCAGAAAAATGCAATGAGGATGTAAGAAAACTGTAGCAAACATCAGGAGGCATCTTTACATTAAACAGGGAGGGCTGAACAAGAACCGGGAATGATGGCCTTGCGCTTCCCTTCGGGAGTGGCACCTCTGCAGGAGCAGCTGGTATACCAGGTGACCCCCAAGGCAAGGAGGCCCTTCTGGTTGGGGCCCAGCACTGCTGCGTGCACTTCGGCTGCTAGGTAGCCTTTCTGTACACACGGTGCCTCGGTGCAGCTAAGGGCTGTGTGCGCCGTGGACGCGCACTCTGATCTGATGGGGCCTCCTCCCCAGGGATACAGGGACCATCACGGCTCCATTCTGAAGCCTCACTCTTGCCAACAGCTGCCTCTTAAAACCAAAAATAAAATTCCACAAAACTCCTGGAAAAATTTGGGCACATCCCATCACAACTGAAATTCAGCAACGTGATTGCGCACCCAGGACTAACAGGCCTGATACTGTACAAAGGGGCTCCTGGGCCACCTGGGGTGCTTAGGAGGTGAACTCTGCAGTGGGTCTGTCCAAGCCCCAGGTCACCGTTTTTATTCTCCTCTTCTATCATCTCACCTCAAACAACTGACATGACATCTCCTGAAAGGGACAGATGGTGGTATTCAACTTAAGACTTTAACAAATGAAGGAATTAGTTCTGCTGAGCTCTCGGTGTCTCCCAATGTGTGCAGGAAGGCTTTCGGTCAGCCATGCAGCTGGAGTGTGAGGCTGTGAGAGTGTGTGTGTGTGAGTGTGTATGCCTGTGCACACCTCTGACGCCTATGCCAAGGCGACCTGAGCAGGCATAAGACAGAACCCTCTGCAGCATTCACTTGAAATGTCTATACACAGCCCGTGAGTTGGGCCTGTAGGTGGGGAAGACACGCTTCCTGGCCACCTGCTCTGGCCAGGCCCCTTCTGCTGCTGCTTCTGTCCTGCTCCGAGTCCGACAGACCTTGCACCACCCACTTCCTTCTGACATGGGTAAGTCAGCAGCCACCCTGACTTTCCAGGTGCCCATCTCTCTTTCAAACGATGTCTTTGAAGTTGACAAAACTTGGGCTATGGACTTGAAACCATGGATATTCTTTTGTTTAAAAAAAAAAAGCAAAGAGGAGGAGGAGACAGCATTTGTGGAGGGACAAGGCAGCACAACATGCACGGGAGGAAGGCAAGAACAAACAGCACACCAAGCAGCGTGCACCCGAGCGGCCGCACTGGGCCGGAGGCTGCTCGGGGGAGGTGTCGCTGGCAGCACGCGGGACAGTGCAAGCTGCTAAAATATCTTACACCTTGGAAGGCCCCTGAGGATGGCTTTGCTCACACTACAAATGCCAGCCTGCAGGAAGGGCAGGCCAGCTCTTACCCCGGGCGGCACATCAGACTGCCCAGGGATCACTGCCGAAATCTGATGGCTAGGTCCTGCCCCAAAGATTCTTATTTCATTGATGGGGGGAGGGGTGCCTAAGCTTTGGGCTTCCAGGTGATTCTAACTAACGTGTTGCCAGAGCCAGGAACTGCAGTCCTGACCAGGGGAAAGCTGGGCCACATCTCCAGCCGACCGCCCACACCAGCTATCTCTCCCTGTAGGTACGGACCAGCCCTGCAGAGTGGGAGCCCTAGAAAAGCCCACCGGGGCTGTTAGAGCCGACCATGGGTTCTTTGGAGGTTGGGGGGGTTCAGTACTTGTATGCACAGATTAGACTCCACCCCATCTTCCTCACAAGGAGTGGAGGAGGACACTGCTGGACCCTGAGATCAACCACTGGATACCTGAGACGGGGCAAGGACTTGCTCCCCAGGCAGCTGTTAGAGGCTGGGCGATCAGTCTCCAACAGAGGGGATTCCAGTATCACCTCGGGGCTGGGACTAGATGGCCTCAGGGGCTCCTTCCAAGCCTGGGATGCCACCGTCATCAGCTGGGACCCCTCCAGAGAGATGATCCACAGCCTCTGGAGGCCAAACGATATGCTGGGTCAGGAAGCTCCCGAGGCCCCTGGGGTCCTCCTGATGTTCGCCCAGCCCCTTCCCACAGGGCTCCCAGGCAGGCTCTTGAGATGCAGGCTCAGGGTCAGCCCCCAACAAGTGCAACCAAAGGGATCAGTCAGCACTTTCTGAATTAATTCCCACCTTTTGCTGGAAAAGCCGAAAGGATGCAATTTTTCAATTCAGACAGGAAGCAAACCAACATCCCAGAACCAGTTAACCTGAGGTGCCCTGGAGAACCCAGTGTTTGTGGCGGGGTGTGTGGGGGGCCCTCCCTCTGATGACTTCTGACCTGGCCTGTAACACCCCTGGGAGGAAGGATTTGCTGAGTCTGTGTCCAGAAACCAGCAACCTGGTCCCCAGAAAAGGGTGAGCATATGGAATGGGGGGTTGGACAACCTGACTGTGGGTTCAGAACAAGAAGCTGACTGCAGCTATTGGACACCTGGTCCGAACTGGGTCCCTGACAAGCCAGGGACAATTCTAGGGTCCCTGGAAGTGGGTTCCCTACTGACCTTTGATATGCTCTTCTGTGGGTAATAAAAAGGCAGACGTGGGTTCTACATAAGTACGTTGCCCCCCAGCAACGATGGTAATGGCAAAGAGGCCATTCTCAGGTTGGGGAGAACAGGATGCATTTCACCAGAGAGCAAACGGGCATCTGAGAGGGAGCAAAAGTGAGCCTGCCAGGCATCGTCCGACATTTTAGCAGCTTGGTGATGTGGCCATGAAAGAGATGGAGACGAGTCCATGAGAGAGATGAAACCATGACAGAGCAGGCCGGGGCCACGGGAGGGCGACAGGAGGGAGAGGGCTGGGTGAGCATGCAGGCAGGACAACGGAAAGGGCCATCCAAAATGTTTCTGCAAAGAATACAATGCAAGCTCGGTTTCTCATTTCCAGGTCGGATCATTCATTCCTGAAGATTTTGCTGGCAAGCCCCAGGGCCAAGCATGACTGACCACGACGGCCTCGGCTCAGGCCCAGGCCGGAGACAACAAAAGGTGAGCGGGAAACAATTTAGATGACCATGACCAACAGCATGTCCTGTGAAACTCAGCGAAAACCAAAGGTGGGGAAGCCAAAAACAAGTATACAGTCTTAAAGTGCGCTTGCTTTAATGACTTCACCGTATATATGTATATATATACTTGCCGCTACAATTTTCTAAAAATAAAACCAACATGAAAATCAATTAGGCAACAGAAAATAAAGATCAACGGAGGTTGGGGGAGAGAGCACAGCAAGTTAATATTGCAAATAATGATGACGTACGGCAGCTAAAAACAGCCAACAATGAACCAAGAGCGTTCATGCTCAGCTGACCCAGGAGCTCTGGGGACAGGCCACTAAGAGACACACTAAGTGCTACTACTCTGGAGGACATGGCAGATGCGGGAGAGGGGGTATAGGAGTCAGAAGCCCCGCTGAGCTGGCTATACCGTCAGAGGTCAAGGACACCGGTCTCGTTTACCTCTGTGCCTGCCCAAAGCTTCACCTATGGTCTAAGAATTTTAGATGTGCAATAAACATGTGTTGAAAGACTGAATAAACGAGAAGGTGGCTGGAGCATCCGTTCTGCACTGAGGCCTCACACAGAAATGCTGAGAGCTCCCACCGTGGCCCTCTACTGGCCCACGGCAGAGGGCTGGCATTGCCACCCGCTGAGGAAGGCTCGGCCTCCATCCACGCCTGGCTGGGAAAAAGTCACTGACTGAAAGGGCAGTATGGCAATGATTACCCGTGTGATCCTGAAAGTCTCAGTGAATGTCGGGAATGGGCCCAATGCCAGCCTGTTCTGTGCAGGTACCCTGGTGTCAAATGCTAACTAGAAAACTTAGTGTGGGCTTCTGTAGACCTGGCTAATGACGTTCATGGAGGAGGACAACACTGAGACACTGATGAGCAAGGCTGGGCCAGCGGGGACAGAAGCAGTGGGCTCCTGTGCCCAGCACAGGGAGAGGCAGCCAGGCAGCCAGGCCAGTGCTGTCGCCGCATGAACCGGTGCCACACCCCGCCAGCCAGCCGGTGGGTCCGGCATTGGAGAGCTGGCTTGTTCACTCAGTAAACAAGCCTTGGCCACATCCTGGTGCCCAGAAACTAAGCCTTTACACCCAACCCCGGCACGAGGCTTGCAGCCCCAAGCGCTCTAGGGAGACCTACTGAAAGTGTAGTTTATTACATTTTCGCTTCCATTACAGACCACCTCTGACTTCCACAGTGTCTGCTTCAGAATTCCCATGCAGTACACGGTGATGTAAGTTATAAGCGCCTTTTACAAGGTGACGAAGCAGGCAGATGTCTGCTCATCAACTCAGAGAGAGCCCGGCAGCCCAGTTAGGGCCCTGCTGTTCTCCCATTAGCATCAGATGACTGTATGGCCCAGACTAACTTATACATTATGAATGGCAATTCTATAGCTGACGTATGGAACATCTCACATGAAGTGAAATCTTCCTAAGTCTGGGCTTATGGAGGTTAGGGGATGTAAAATGCCATTTTGTGCCTTGTCATGGCATGGATTTGGGTGTTATGAGGCTTAAGTCACACATTCATGCACATGCCAATGTCTTAGTCCATTTCACTCATTACTGCATGGGAAATCTCCCTACCACTTTGCGCTTTTTAGCAAGTATTTTCACAAACAGTCATATCATTTTATCACAACATACCTACGAAGCAGGGAGGACAGGTTTCATTCACTCCAGTTGACCCAAGAAAGAAGCAAGGACCAGATGCAACAGTCGTTTGGACCAGGACTAGAACCACCAGGCCTCGCGACTGCGTGTCCCACTGTTCTGCTCTCCAGAATCAGCCCAGCCCCAAACAGGTGGCAGAAAGGGTTCTCATTGTCCTTATTTGACACAGGCTGTCTGGGCACCAGGATGGACTGTGTGATCCTGCTGATGTCAGCCAGGCAGAGCGTGGCAGCCGAGGGTGGGGAGTGGCGAGGCTGGGGATGTGGAGCAGGAAGCCAGCACTGCACAGCGGTCCCCGCGAAGGACTCGACACAACCTGGCACACACACTGGACACCCACGAAGACTGTGGATGACCTGGGACAGGCCAGATGGGCACGGCCATTTCTGCCTGCCTCAGGCCCATCGGTCTCGCCCAGGGTCAGACCCGAGAGGAGCCGGCAAGAGATGGGGCTCCCCTTTCTCAAGCCTCTTCATTTTGGAGGGGGGTTCTTGGGTTGCTTCTTGGAGGGAAGACCACTGCACCTACCATGCTGCTTAGCCCCTCATCAAAAGATTAACTGAGGGCAGCAAAGGAGTACTGACTCCCCCCACCCAGATGCACACTAGGCCTCCTTCCCCTGGTCCTGGGCAGCTGTCCAGCTGCATCACTATTTTGGGAGCTGGGATGGGGACGTGCCCCAGTGCCACCAGTTGGATTCAGCAGACACGGGACAGGACAGGTGAGGACACCAGCAGCAATGGCCACATGCTCAGGGCACAGCTGTGGGATTTCCCTCCCGTGCCTTCGCAGAACCACTGTGGGTACCGGGGCACACACTATGAACTCCATTTTATAGCTGGAGAAACTGAGGCACAAAGCAGGCAGGTGATGTGCTGATATGCACACTCACACAACTCCTAGCCCTTAACGTTGTAACGAGATATTCTATTAGAGTGTTTTAGCTCCAAAACAGTCATTCTACATTTATTTTCCCAGTCTCTTTCAGGGGAAGCGAGTGGGGTGAGGGTGGGGAGACCAAAATTGGTCTTAATCTTTCAAGAGACATGTGTGCCTGAATTTCTAACACCTACAGAGAACCCTGGGGTGGGGCGTGGGGGGGCGAGCAAGGGGGTTCGTTTCTGGTCTCCTCTATGTCAGACTTAACGAGAAAACAATGACGTTGTAGGACACAAAGTTTGCTACTTACATTCACTTCAGTTATAGCAATATCAACGACGCTACCAACAACAATTAAGGCATCAAAAGTGTTCCATGCATCAGTGAAATAGTGCTGTTAGGGCAAGCATTCAGCCACAGAGGAGAGGAAGCACACAGGAGAAAAGAAGAAAAGGACAGTGTTATCAACAGGGAACATTCTAGCGTTATGCCACCCGGCTACCTGAAAAACTGCCCTGAAACAAACATGTTACAGATACATCACCTTGGAGATCACTGCTGATACAGAAAACAACACAGTCAGAGATGCCTCGCCTGCCCTGCCTACCGGTGCCCTGGATAACGCTGCAAAACAGTCCGTCCTCCACAAGGTGGTCTGTGTCTAAAAAGGCCCAGGCTGGGGCTCTGCCTTGGAAAGCCTCTTTTCTGCAGCTCCTACTGGGAAACTCCTGGCTTTAGGTGAAGTGAGGCTGGGCTCTGTGACTTGTCCAGGTGATGCCAGTGCGGGCGGGGAGCGGGATGTACACAGAAGAAGGGCAAGAGGCGGGCGGCCGCGGGCGGGAGCATACTCACGTCGGCTTCGCTGAGGGCCACGTCTATAATGCTGCCGATTACGATGAGGGAGTCAAACGTATTCCAGGCGTCACTAAAATACCCCTGGACAGAGCAGGCAGGGGGCAGACATTTATGAGCATGTATGAATGAAACGCCACACGGACCATATGGGCACACATCCAAGGCCCCGCAGCACCCTTGGCAACCAGGGTGGGAAGCCAAAGGGAGGCAATACTACTGCCCAGGGGAAAGGGACACAGTGGATGGTGTGCACCTCCATGTGTGAGAGAGGCTGCCCATACGCATAGACACATGTACACATGCACGCACACACACAACAACCTGCATGCATGCACACACACACATACACATACACACACACACACACACACAATGCAAACCCATGGTTCTGAGCTGCATAACCCGAGCAGAATATCTGCAGGACACAGGGAGGCATTTGGCAACTCGGCCCTGACACCCAGGGTGACAGGCCCAAACCTTCATATGCTGATGGAAGAGCAAGCCCCTCAGACTCCTTCCACAGGGACCCACCCAGTCACCCACCCCTTCTCCTCCACTTAAAGAACACTGTCAGCAGACATTCCACACTCTCTCATTTCTGTGCCCCTAAAACAAACCAGTAATCCTCCCCCCTCCTCGCCAGCCAGCAAGAATTACAAAGGGTGTGCCTGAAACAATCCCTGTCTCTCAGCGCTCTCGGTCTAGCAGGGCAGACACAGGCAATGGCTGACAGCGAGGCAGGCACTGGGGTCACACAGGTTCCTGTCCTCTCAGCGCTCTCGGTCTAGCAGGGCAGACACAGGCAATGGCTGACAGCGAGGCGGGCACTGGGGTGCACACAGGTTCCTGTCCTCTCAGCGCTCTCGGTCTAGCAGGGCAGACACAGGCAATGGCTGACAGCGAGGCGGGCACTGGGGTGCACACAGGTTCCTGTCCTCTCAGCGCTCTCGGTCTAGCAGGGCAGACACAGGCAATGGCTGACAGCGAGGCGGGCACCGGGGTGCACACAGGTTCCTGTCCTCTCAGCGCTCTCGGTCTAGCAGGGACAGACATGGGCAATGGCTGGCAGGGAGGTGGGCACCGGGGTGCACACAGGTCTGAGGCACTGAGTCGTGGCAAAGAAGCTCACTCTGGGGAAGCCAGGCTGTTTGTGGAGCAAAAGAGCACTGACGGATGATGAAGGTGTTCAAGGGCTCCACTGCCACCAAGGGAAGCCCCCAAGTCACCAGCAGCTCCTCCTTGCACCCCGCCCTCCCTCCCTTCCTCCCTCCCTCATCCTCCAGGCTAAGAGGACGCTGTTCCATCCGTCAAAACCACCACCAGGTTCTTACCCACCTCCTGACGCCTCCTCACCCCTATGATGCCACAGAAAATGTGGGCATGTTGGCTGTCCTAACAGCGGGCGAAGGCACCTTTATTTTGGTTTCTGTCCATCACTCCAGGGCAGGCACGGGGGAGCTATGACACTGACTGATTTGGGTTTTTACAAAATTTCATCTTAAATAGAGTAAGATTTCCCCACTCAATTGCCATGACTTCTGACCCATCTTTACCTCTCTCCTCCCCTCTTACAATCATAATGCCTCAGCCATGTGCTACCTCATTGACGGCCACCTCCCAGCCCCATCTCAGTCCTGTAGCAAGTCAACAGCAGGACTTCACCTGCACAACTCTGATGGCCTGTGGATCAAGTCAAATGGGAAGGTCTACTTAAGAAATACCAATTAAAAAAAAATAATTGAGAGGATGGTACAACAATTTCCTGTATACTCCTAGCTCCACACATGTACCGCCTCTCTCATTAACAACATCTTACGAAATTGTGGAGGACCCCTATAAAGAGAGAGAGAGAGAGAGAGAGAGAGAGAGAGAGAGAGAGAGAGAGACACCACATCCTACACTTTCTAGTTTTCTCCTCACAACGTGTGATTTTTGGCCGGCAAAACCGAGGAAAGATGGGCCGCTCCGAGGACTAGGCTAGTGCTGCTAACATGCAGCCATGCTGGTCGGGGATGAGATAAAGAGCTATGCCAGGACACAGAGGAACTCACTGCCCACTTCAGCGAGGAAGTCTCCGGACCGGCAGCATCAGAGGGTACATGAGTGAGGCTGTGGGCATCCCAGGGCCAAAGGGTACAAGTTCTCTTTGAAACGATGTGCACTGTTGCGATGGGTAACAGTGAGTGAGGAGCAGCCGTGGCAGACCGCTGAGGGGCAGGGCCTGCCCTTTCCTTCGGGACTTAGCAACTCAAAAGCCAGAGTGTGGTGGGCCTTCCCCTCCTTCTAGAGGGATGGGTGCCTCATAATCATCCACGGTCTCCAGTAACTGCTGGGCCTCTGGCGTCCACACAGAGCAGAAGCCAAGCATCCCTCCTCCTGTCCGTCCTGGCACACAGACAGCCCGCAGCTCACTGCCCATGCGCTCAGCTCCACCGTTACAGCCCGTCATTTACCTGAGGCCACGCCCACTACTGTGCTGGGTGCCAGCCCTGTGGCCTACTTTGGACTTTACTCCTGAACAGCTCCTCTCTCGCTGTCCAGAATCATCAGTATTCACCTTGGGATCATTCCCATCAACTGGGAAAAAACTATTGTCTAATGGGGCCCCTGCAGCCATGATGCTACATAAAATCACTTTCAATTGACAGGATAGGGGCCTGGTATTGGAGCTCCTGGAACTTTTGGGCAATCCCTTCAACTCTCTCTCCAGGGGATCCCTCACACTCACAAAACCCTAGAGCAGCCGTGGGCAAACTACGGCCCGTGGGCCGGATCCAGCCCGTTTGAAATGAATAAAACTAAAAAAAAAAAAAAAAAAAAAAAAAAAAAAAAGACCGTACCCTTTTATGTAATGATGTTTACTTTGAATTTATATTAGTTCACACAAACACTCCATCCATGCTTTTGTTCCGGCCCTCCGGTTCAGTTTAAGAACCCATTGTGGTCCTCGAGTCAAAAAGTTTGCCCACCCCTGCCCTAGAGGCTACACCCCTAACCCAGGCGACAGGAGGCTTGAGTTGGGACAAGTGGCAGGAAGCAAAGGCTCCGGCCCCGACCAGGTGGCTCTGCTAGGTCCCGGGGAGGCAGGAAATGCCAGCCTGCCTTTTTTCCCACATCCTGTTTCCCGGTTTAGTAGCCGGCTTTGTAATAAAATCACTGTCAAGTGAGCGTGACTCAGTCCCCCATTGCTTTCCCACCAAAGTCTGGTGTAACCCGAAAATGAGACATTAGCTTCCGACAGAGGGCCCTCTCCATATCCCTCGGCCACTGACACACAACACATCTCCTACAGCTGAATTATGAGGCCGGGGCCCTCAAGTGGTGCCGGGAGCCGGTCCATCCTTGCTGTTTCTAGGGACCTGGTATATATGGCATACTGTTCTTAATATGTTTGGTCACCTTCTTGGCACTATGTGTTTTAACCAAGGTCACCTCTCCAAGAAAGGTTGTTTCCCCAGGTAGGGATTTTTCCCTGAAGTTAGGGAGGGGATGAAACTCCTTAACTAAGTGCCAGGCGGGTAGTTAATCACTTTAACTACGAACAATCATGCTTAAGCTA